CTTGTTTATGTTCCCAGTGAGGAAGGAACACACTGTGTTTACCAATGCACTGTTGGTTTCTCGGCAAGTTACAATTAAATGTGGTTGGTGAGACTTCTCCTATGTAAGACTTGTACATTTCTAGTTATAATTACTCTTGGTTAAGATCTAGAGTAAAGAAAATGAACCTGGGCTTGGTGATGAGCAGTTCCTGGGAGAATTACATGGTTGTGTTCTTTCTCCCTAAAATGTTGGGGCTTTGATGAGCTCTGAAAAGGACAAGGCATTCAAAATGAAATTAGCAAAAATCTAAGCACGTTAGAAAGTGGGGTTGTTCACAGAAGTAATCAAAGAAATGGAATAGATAAAAAGATAAGATGAAAATATCCAAGACTAATTGTTGTTGCTGTTGTGGTTGTCGAGCCAGAACAGAGTCTCCAGTGGATTGTCAGAGGCAGTCGATGCACGAGGGGAGATTGTTCATGTATCACCTGAGGAGCAGCTGGTGGATTCTCACCTCCTGCCTTTGGGATTGCAGTGCAGCTTCTATTCCTCGGCCACCAGTGCTCCCTAAGACTGTCTGAGGGAACGTAAGTGTAACGTGACCCAGTGTCTCTGTGGCATGGAGTAGAACTGCTCCTGGTGTGTTCTTGGCTGCTATCCTTAGAGAAGCAGATCTCAAAGCCTTTCTTCAACACTGTCACCACGTGGGTTTGAACCACTAACTCTCAGTTAGCAACCAATTGCATACAACTTGTGCCATCAGATACCTGAGCACATGGGGCCTCTGTGAGCTGGGATCAGGCTGATGGCAGAGGTTTTGATGGTTCTGGTGTGTAATGCCGAAGAACAGTACTAGAATGAGATAATAATTGAGAAAATGACCGAATTAATTGATATCCCTAAATACCACATACCGGAAGAGCATGTTACAGAGATTTGAACTCCATTGTTCATAGCAGCAGTAGTCACAATAGCAAGAACATGGAAACAGTGCAAATGTCACCAGCACATGACTGGATTCAGAACTTGTGGTACATTCACACGAGGGCATGCAGTGCAGCACTCAGGAGGAACGATTTAGAAAAATACTATATAACATGGGATTATGCAGCATGAACAAACTCAGACCCACAAGGACAAATACTGCATAAGGCCGTTATGTAAAAATAGAAGGATAATTAGTTAGATGTGTATGGCTATCCAAAGAAGGAAGGGAAGGAGAAGGGGGGCTGGGAGGAGAAGGGGTGGAAATCATAGGTCAGAGTTTGGTGGGTGGAGAGAGTGGGTGAAGAAATTGGGAAATATTTAGTGAGGATCTGGAAAGGTGGGATAATGATAGACATGGATAATGGTAATTAATTTTATAAAACACAATGAATAGGAATGATTGTAAGAAACACAATGTGAATAAAAAAATCCAAAGAAATTTAAAAGATAGAGTATGTATTAAAATGATATCAAATAAAAGTAAATAAATAGAAATATCACGAAATAAACTGTGTCTTTAAATAAAGAAAGACTGTTAACAGGAAGAGAATGACCAGCACGGGGTGGTTATTTTGACACATTTCACCGACACTGTCCAGGGGACCAACTCTCATGGCCAACAGTGTTCCAGCCACAGAACAGAACATGAGCCATTCAGCGGTCGAGCAAGAGAGATCCCCCCCCCAATCAGGTTTCACCATGGCCTAAATATCCTGTTACTCTAATTTGATTCTACGCCCGTGAGTGACCTTGGTGACTAAAATGTCTCAATAAAAAGGATCCCTGGTGTCTTGGCTAAGTGTTAGTTGCCAGCTGAAAAGTTTCTTTACGTTTGAACTTACCAGTTGTTCCATACATGAAAGACGAGGCAGTAAGATCCTGAAAAGACTTACGGCCCTGGAACCTGATGGGACAGTGCTAGCCTATGAGGATATCCGGCCTGTGAGGTTATCAGGAGTCAGCACCAACACGTCCGCCATGCTGTGTACACACACACACATACTCAATATGAAAGGGAGACCTTCAGGATGATCTAGAATGTAACAGTTCCTCACCGGGGTGAATAAATTGCCTTGACAGGCATTCACAGTCTTGTGAAAATCCCTTGGTGTGTGAACCCAGGTAATTCTGTGTGGCCAGACCACGGCCAGCTCAGACTTCTGAAGCAGAGGTCCAGTCACCTGGAGGCCTCATGGATGGACTTGGCAGGAATGGCTCAGTTCAGTTAGGCCCAATTAAGTTTACCAGGGAGGGGCAGACAATTCTGATAAAAGCAAAACTTAGTATCAGAGAATTTTGGCTGCAAGCCAGATATTGTGGTTAGTCGTTGCCAGATCTATAAAAGGTGGGGCCTGGTGAGTGCAGCTGTTACAGAGGCCCATGATTGGCCATCAAGGACTTCCACATCCCGGTGATGGGGCAGCCATCAGGTGTGGAGTAGAATATTCTCTATTTCTGGTCAGATTGATCCCGGAGCCTGGAAAACAGATTTGAAAGTATTAACCATCAAAATTGGGGTAATACTGGAAATGGGGAGTAAGGGAGATACTGTACTGCTGGCATTAACTTTCTTTAAACCAAAAAGAAGTACCTGGGAAGTAACTAAATGAATAACACTTACTTGTCAGGAATGATGGTTGACACAGAGCCTCAGGGAGAGAAGGCATAAGGCTGCAGGTCGGGTTAGGAAGTAGATGTCAGCTCGTTGGGGGACCTGAGAGGTTAAGCACAGGATCTTCATTGTTGTTGTTGTTGTTGTTGTTGTTATGTGCCGTCGAGTCACTTGTGACTCATAGCGACCCTATGTACAACAGCCCTAAACCTGCTCTATCCTGTGCCAATCTCACTGCCTCTAACACACCCATCCCGATTACCCCAATCACTGAGTCAATCCACCTCATAGAGGGTCTTCCCCTCCTGCGCTGTCCCTCCACTCTGCCCAGCATGATGTCCCTCTCGAAGGACTGGTCCCTCCTTACAACATGTCCACAGTATGTCAGACGAAGCCCCAGAATCCTTGCCTGGTTTAACCCTCTCCAGGTTGAATCTGTTTGTTTTGTTGGCAGTCCAGGGTACATTCAATACTTCTCTCCAGCACCACAGCTCAAAGGCGTCAATTCTCCTTCTATCCTCCCTAGTCATTGTCCAACTCTCTGATGCATAACAAGTGATTGCAAAGACCATGGCTTGTATCAGGTGCACCTTAGTCTCCAGAGAGACACCGTTGCTCATGAGTACTTTAGAGAGGTCCCTAACAGCAGACTTTCCCATCGCAATACATTTTTTTATTTCCTGGCTGCTGGTGCGAAGAGTGTTGACCATTAGACACTCAAAAATATGTGAGGGATCTATCCAGCCTCATCCGTAACTGAAGGCAGGGCTTAAGTGGTGTAAACAGAGTCTGTTTTTTTCTCTGCCTTCTCTGATTTGACCTTCTCCTTGCTGCCTTGAGAATCAGACAAGTTCTGTCCTACTGTGATTACAGTTTCTGATATTCCAAAAAGGATAGCCCCAAGACGGGATTACCGGAGCCAGAAGAGGTAAGCAGTTCAAATCGACCAGCAGCAATTTGAAAGTTGAGCTGCCTCTTCCTATAATGACCTCATCTTCAGAAATTGGATAGAAGGTCACATAAATTGGGCTCAATTGGAAGACAGTGAGTCTTCTGGTTTGTAAGACTGGATTATGCTGCTCCTTTGATTTCCACTTTGCTACTTAAAGTCTTTATTAATCTATTTTGCTCCCTGCTTTTGTTTGTTGTTATGTACAATTGACTGTATTGTTGTTGTTGTGTATGGTCAACTCAGAATTGACTCATAACTGACCCTCCAACGGGTTTTCATAGGCAGTAAATCACACAGAAGGAGACTGCCCATCTTTCTCCCAGGAACTGCTGGTGGATTCAAACTGTGTACTTTGGTCTGGCAGGACAATTCCTTACCACTCAGCCACCAGGAAGCCTTGGTGGCATAATACATTCTGTCATTCACTGTTAATTGTTTTAATTTATCAGCCACCCTACGACAGAAAGATGCGTTAATAAGACCAATATTTCCAAAGTGTCAAAACTCAGCCTCACTCAGGACACTAAGTTTGGGTTTGGTTTTGACAAGCTGGTTCCAACTAATAGTGGCCCTGTGATCAATTCCAACTCACAGCAAACCTGCAGGCCAGAGAAGCCTTGCCACATAGGATTTCCAAGGCAGCAAACCTGGAAGGCAGTAGATTGTCACATTTTTTTCCCCTCCAACAGAATGGCTGGTGGTTTCAGACCCTTGACCTTTTGGTAAACTGCTGAAAATTTTAACGACTATACCACCAGGAATCTTTGTGGTTGTATGTTGTTGAGTTAGAACAGACTCATAGCTGAACCTACAGCAGGTTTTCAGAGGCAGTAAGTCACATAGGAGGAGATTGCCCATCCTTCCTCCATGGGATTCAAACTGCATGCCTCTGAGATCACAGCACAGCTTCTTATCACTAGGCCACCAGAGCTCACTAAAGAGGAGTGAAGTCAAAACTGATTCATACCCGCTAGTGTGTTTTCAGAGGTGGTTAACTGCCCAGGAGGAGATTGTCTATGCTTCTCCCTCACAGACGCTGATGGATTTGAACTGCATGCCTTAAGGATTGCAGCACAGCTCCTTACCACTAGAGCCTGCAATTTTTAAAAAATATTGTTCATTGATTTTCATATAATACCTTTACATATGTATGTTTCAGTTCTATACATTGTGTTTTATACAATCACTCATATACATTCCATTTTACATTTTTTATACTAGTTTATTTACAAAATTCATATACATTGCTTTTCACACCAGATCCTTCCCAATTCCCTCACCTCCCCCACTCATCAAACTGTGCGACCTCATGATTAATCAGCCCCATCCCCACCCCCACCACACATCCTCACCCTTCTGAGAGCCTGTGATTTAATAACTGTGCTGTAAGAGTTTGGCTCAATAAATATTTTTGGGTGAATAAGTAATGAGTTACTTCTTATTAGTTGTTTGTTCTTATTTTCTCAGAATTACAACAGGCCTCCAGTGATGGCATTGGCCATCCCCACGGCAGTGAAATTCCTCCACAGAGGCAACAGAGAACTTTGCAGGAACATGTCCAACTACCTGTCGTTGGCTGCGATCACCAGGACGGAGCTGCTGGCCGATCACACGGAGGCCATAGTGAAGAGCATACTGCAAGGTACAGGGCAAAGGCTGAGCTTGGGCACTGGCTCTAGGAGATGTGGAAAGGTTTTGATGAGCACTTTATGTTGGTGGAAAGTAAGACCTGGAGGATTGAGAGTCACATTAAATTCTACCCTTTGCCACTAGTTGGCTTGTGAATGCTGGAAAGACTAATTTAAGCCAAGGACTCTTGATCTAGTTGGACTCATTAAGTCTAAACTTCACTCTTGGGTGGTGCAAACAGTTGAGTTCTTTCAGGTGTTATATTAAAAAAAAATTTACATTCAAGTTCACTCAGCGTCACTGTTGAAGATTTACTGATGATCTGATGCTGCAAGATATGTACAGATGTCCAGTGGATTCTGACTTTCTATACCATAGGGCAAAACAGAATTGCCCTATGTGATTTTCAAGGCTGTAAATATTTTTGCCACTAGGCCACTGTATTTTTACAAATATTTTTGTAAGGAGAGACTTCCACATCTTTCTCCTGAAGAGAATTTGACGTGATGTCAGAGAGCAATTTAGCATATTGTTTGAAAATGCACTCTTGAGGACTCTCTTTCAGGTTTCCTATAAATCCTAATGGGGCAACTCCATGTTTTTTATGTGGATTGGCTGGGGGCCAGTCAGCCAGTAGGAACAGGAATCGCACAGAAGAAGTTTGCCCATCTTTCTCCTGTGGAGAAGTGGATAGGTTCAAACCACACACCTTTGGGTTGGCAGTGCAACTCCTTACCACTAAGCTACCAAAGTTTCATCCCTGTCATTGAGTCTATTCCAATTCGTGGCTACCTTTCACTGGATTTCTGTGCCTGTGAATCTTAAAGGGAGAAGATAGCCTCATCTCTCCTGCAAAGAACCCACTTAATGGGTTCAACCTGCTGACCATTTGGTTAGTCGCAGTTTAGGAGGCTTGAAGTCCAAATTTAAGATGCTGGCTGTAGAAGATGTTTTCTTTCTGACAGCTCGGGAGGAAGGCCTTTTTGTATTCTGAACGTTTACCCTTGGGCAATCCTTATGTAGCTTGACATTTCTCTTCACCTATCTCTGCTTCTCTTGCTTGCTGGTTTAATCTTATTTGTTTTTCTAAAAGGTTTTATTTAGGACAGCTTCTATACTATAGGATACATATCATTGACATAACCTATTCCCACCAGAATTGTAACTACTGGGATAAAAGGGTTTGCAACGTGCGTTTTTTGGGGACATGCTTCAATCCCCTGATCAAGGATTCTTGACTCCCAATCTTAACTAAGTTTGTAGTAAAATAGAGTTTTCATTTTTATCTAAATTCTCTCCCTCTCTTCATTGGACTCTCCAATCCACCCAGGTATCTGGACTAGCTACAGACTCTTTCTCCAAATTCTCCACTTGTCTTTTGCTGCCAAGGACCAAATTTGTACTTTAATTAAGCTCTTTGTGCCGGACATCTTTTCAATGAAGATTTTTACTACCATGAGCCCAGATTTCTGACAGTCACCTAGTCTAGAGTTGGCCAGACCTGTCTGTGTCCCAGCCATGGTGATTGTTGTAGTGCTAGTCTCACAGTGGCCCATCAACCCTACATAAAACAGATGAAATCCACCCAATCATGTGCCAGCCTCACATTGACCCATCAACCCTGCACAAAACAGATGAAATCCACCCAATCCTGTGCTGGCCTCCAGTGACCCAGCAACCCTGTGCACAATGCATGAAATCCACCCAGTCTCGCAATATCGCTATGCTCAAGTCCACTGCTGCAGTCACTAAATTTATATCTCAACATGTCCCCTTCAATACAGATTTGTCATCAATAACACTACCCAGTATTATTCATATCTCATTTACTTTGGCTACAGGATTGAATTGCTAATGTCATTTTATGCATGATATTAAATTTGCTAAACATCCAGAAAGCCAATTATGCTTTTCTCACCACCTTGACTACATTTTTGGAACAGCTTTTATCAAAATGACAAACAATTATACACATGACACACAACATACATTTTAAAATTGTAATAGTTAGACTTGCACGTAAGTGCTATGTGAAAAAAATATATTTCATTTTTCTCTTTACAGCTGCCAAGAACTTAGCTCATCAAGTTGTTTCATTTTCAAATGCTCTTCCAATGACAAATCTTTTGAAGCACTTTCTGAAATAAATTATTTGGTATATTCAATCTGGCCAGTATTAAGATTACCATAAAATGAATGGTAATCTTACCTACAAAAGGATAGTTAGGTGCCGTCAGGTTGATTCCAACTCATAGTAACACAATGTACAATAAGATCAAAACTCTGGCTCATGAAGACGCAGTGGACGAGAGATTGGAAACTGCCTGATCCTGTGGAATCCTCACAACCTTCTGCTTAAATCCAGTTTTTGCAGTCACTGTGTTAATCTATCTTGTTGAGGATGATTCTCTTGTCCCCTGACCCTCTAACTTTTCCAAGCATGATGTCCTTCTCTAGGACTGGCTCCTTCTGACAACATATCCAAAATATAGTATCATACTTACATCTAAGGAACAGTCTCTGTGCTTTGAAGATAGATTTGTTTGTTCTTTGACACTCCAAATAATATATTCCATATTCTTCACCAATAGCACAGTTTTATATTGGTCTCCTTAATTCATTGTTTAACTTTCACATGCATATGAAGTAACTGAAAATACTGTAGATTGGAACAGGTACACTTGATCTTAAACGATATTCTTGATCCTTAGCATTTTAAAGAGGCTTCCAGCAGATGTGCTCATTGCAGTACATTGCTTGATTTCTTGAATGCTCTTTCCATGGATGTTAATTGTGGATCCAAGCAAAATGAAATCCTTGAAAACTTTTATATTTTTTCCATTCATCATGATATTCATCCAGTTGTGAGGAATTTTATTTTCTTGTTGTTGGGGTGTAATTCATATTGAAAGTTATAAAATTGCATATTCTGAGTATTGTCAGTTGATGATATGTCTGATGCCGTATTTCTCTTCACGCAGTCCAAGTGGTGAGTTTTCTGTACTACAAATCATCGTCCTATAATCCCTGCTAAATGCTTTAGGGAAATATCATTGATAGTTTTTAATTACTTATAGTTCCTTTCTTCCTACTTTAGACTTTTCTCTTTCACATATATTATCCTAATTTTTATCCTCCTATTTTTCTATCTCTACCAAAGAGAGGGATTTATTATAACTAGTTATTCTAATCTAAGTTTATAGAACTAGATTGCTGAAATTATGGAATCTTAGATTGGGACATTAGATATTGTTTATCTCAATTACCTCAAGAAATACTTGAATTCCAACTGCATGGGCAGTGGCAACAATAATTACAACATTAACATCTGCTGTTGTTAACAGTTCTTGGATGCTGTCAATTTGATTCGTAACTCATAGCAACCCCACTTGACTGAGTAGAATTGCTCTTGAGTATTTTCAAGACTGTAGTATTTATGAAAGCAAATTACCATGTCTTATTCTTTCAGAGCCAAAATAGAATCTTGAGTATGTTTGACCTGAATTTAAAACTATTTTAAGAATAGGTTTGACACATTGAACATTAATGACAGAAAGCTCAACTAGTTGTAAGATGATATCAAGGACATCAGACATAAGAGAACAAAAAGGTCATTAAGAAGGCAGGGAAGAAAGAATTAAAAGCCCAAACTGGATGCCAGAAGAAGCTCTGAAACACATTGTACAAAAAACAGTTAAAGTAAAAAAGAAGGAGGAATATTTTAAAAGAATTGAAGAGAGAACATAAAGGGTTATAAAGAATATCCAAGGAATTATTTTGGCTTAAAAACAACAGTAAAACCTGAAAGGGAAGAACACACATGGCAATTCTCTATCTGAAAGAAGTGAAAAAAAACATTCAACTTTTTGCTGCCATCCCAAAGGTGCTCAGTTCGAATCCACCAGATGCTCCACTGGAGAAGGAGGGACAAGCTCTTCCTGTGCCCGATGATACACATACACACACACACACACACACACACACACACACACACACACACTTCAACTGTCAGTTGAAAATAATTGGATTTTATTATTCAATAAGCATGATTTTTAAAAGCAAAAGAAAGGCCAAAAGAACATGGGGAAAAATAGAGTTACTGTACCAGAAAGAATTAGTTGACAGTCAACCATTTCAGGAGTTAGCAGATAATTAAGAACTGATGATATTGAAGGAAGAAGTTGAAGCAGCAATGAAGGAATTAACAAAAAATCAGGCCCCAGGAATTAAAATAATACCAGCTGAAATGTTTCAACAAATGGATGCAACATCTAAGTACTCATTTTTCTGTGCCAAGAAATATGACCAATAGTTACATAGTTAACCAGCTAGAGGAGATCCATATTTGTACTCATGCCAAATAAAGGCAACCAAATAGGCTGTAGAAATTATTGAAAAATATTATTAATGTTCCATACAAGTAAACTTGTGCTAAAGATAAGCCAACCCCGTCAAGAGTACAAAGACAGGGAACTGACAGAAATTCTTGGCAGTTTCAAAAGAAGATGTGAACTGAGGAATGTCTTTGTTAACGTTAAGCAGAACTTGGTGGGAAGCAGAGGACACTATAAGGTTGTTTCTAACATGTCTTTCTGACTATGCACAGGCATTTGACTGTGTGGACCGTAACAAATTATGGATAATATTGCAGACTGTGAATTCCACAGCACTTAGTTTAGTGCATAGTCTAAGACGTGGTAATTCTAACAGAACAGAAGATATTATACTGTTTAAATCAGGAAAAGTGTATGTCTGGGCTGAATCCCTTTACATGCTATTCAGTCTTTATACTGAGCACATAATCTGAAAAACTGGACTATGTGACGAAGAACGAGGCATTGGGATTGGAGGAAGAGTAATCAACAACCTGTAGCATGCAGATTATGCAACCTTGTTTCCTAAAAGCAAGAAATTAATGCATTTACTGATGAAGATCAAAGCCTTCAGTATGGACTATATGACTCATAACTGATTGAAAAAGTGTTATCATTATCAATGCAGAATAAGATTGAA